TAATTCAAGATTTTGCACATGGCATTCTTCAGTATTGAAACTTAAGGCTTGCATTTGTTTTTCATTTCTTTCAGCTTGAGAAATGTCGAGCAAGTACAACCCTTTTTATTTGCTGACCCAGCTCTTTTTGCACATTTCACTGAAATACTTTGTAGGAACTGCCTTTTCAAATCTGTTCATCTACTTCAATATTTTTTCATCTTTTTTTTCATTTCTTGACATTCTAGTGCAATTTTCAGAGTCTCTTCTAACTTCCATTTTGGTCTTCCTCATTTGAAACAACAGGCCTTTGAAAATTCTATGAACAACAGACGAACTCTGTTCAGTACAAACCTGGCTGCAGAGCCCACAGCATAGAAGACACTAAAAAATAAGGAACAGTCATACACCTTCACTAATAACTGGAACGTGGAATGTATGAAATATGAATCTAGGAAAATTGGTGGTTTTCAAAAGTGAAATGGAAGGCATTAAGATCAACATTCTAGGCATTATGAGCTGAAATTGACTAGCATTGGCTGCTCTGAATCAGGTATTCACAAGATCTATGCCAGGAATAAAAAACTGAGAAAGAATGGCATTGCATGCATAGTCAAAAGACCATTTCAAGATGTACCCTGAAGTATAATTCTGTAAGAAATAGGAGTCTATCCAAATGCAGATAAGGAAGACTTTTTAATACAACTATTATTCAAAATATATGCACTAATAACAAAAACCAAAGATAATGAAATTGAGAAATTCTACCAATTTATGCAGTCTGAAATCTATTGTTATGTGCAAACAAGAAGCAGTGATAATAATTTGCGACTAGCAGCCAGGAAATTAAAAGATGTATTGTGTTGGGAAAGTCTGCTGTTAGGGACCTCTCTAAAGTACTCAAGAGCAACGGTGTGTCTCTGGAGACTAAGGTGCGTCTGGTACAGGCCTTGGTCTTTGCAATCACTTGTTATGCGTCAGAGAGCAGGACAATGACCAGGGAGGACAGAAGGAGAATTGATACTTTTGAGCTTTGGTGTTGTAGAAGAGTGCTGACGGTGCCGTGGACTGCTAAGAAAACAGATTCGTCCTGGAGAGGGTTAAACCGGGCTGCTCCTTGGAGGCAAGGATTCTGAGACTTCGTCTGACATACTTTGATCATGTTGTAAGGAGAGACCAGTCCTTGGAGAAAGGCATCATGCTTGGGAGGGTGGAGGGCAGGCACAGGAGGGGAAGGCCCTCTGGGAGATGGATTGATTCGGTGACTGGGGTAATCGGGATGAGTGTGTCGGAGACAGTGAGATTGGCACATGACAGAGCAGAGTTTAGAGCTGTTGTACATAAGGTCACTATGAGTCGCAAGCGACTCGACAGCACATAACAACCACAACAGAATGAAAAAGCTGAAATACAGACAAGGGGCTGGTAGTTGGAAATTAATAGATGAGCAGAGTTTAGAGCTGTTGTACATAAGGTCACTATGAGTCGCAAGCGACTCGACAGCACATAACAACAACCACAACAGAATGAAAAAGCTGAAATACAGACAAGGGGCTGGTAGTTGGAAATTAATAGATTTGGTGACAGAAATGAGGCAAGAAATGAAGGAATTATGTACAATGATTTATTCATTACAAATACCTTTTCTAAAAAACACTTTGGAGTTTACCTTTCAATATGGCTTTCCTAACTACTGGAATATTCCTGGATGGGAATATGTGAATAGGGTGTATTCATCTATTCACAATGGGACTGGCTATTTCACCATTACAAAAGGAGATTGTCCAGTCTCACCAATCTACAAGGTTATCGGCTAGTGTCCTCAATAAAGGTAAGCCATTCCAGTAGCAGTCTCTCTCATTACCAGTAAAGGAGAAGTAGGCATGCAGTAGGTGCTCTTCAGGATCAGACATTCTTGCATCAGCTAGATATACAGCAGCAACAGTCATGGCCAAAGCAGAGAATCAGAGAATCAACGTGAGATGGGACTGCTACTCACATCCTCTTTGAACTAGAACTAACCTAAGAGCTTTGCCCAAGTTTGCTGGACAATTTGGGGGGACAGCTAACACTGACAGCACTGAGAACTTTGACACTAGTCTAAAGCCATGAGGCTCAAAGCTGAAGTGCCTGAATGCACATTTTGGGAGCTATTCTGACTGTTGTGTATTATTAATCTGGACTATATAACCTTTTAACTTCCTCAAAATGGTTTTTTGTGGTCCTTGGAATTTGGACCCAGCAAAGCAGTAAGAGTGGTGTTGAGATGAGGAGGTATGGAAACATGAGGAACATGTCTGATCTCATGGGATTTGCTTTGTTACTTATGCTGTTGATGGGGACAGTTCCCCTTTGTGAAGCTGGTAAAGGTCAGGTATGGCAGTCCTTATGTGGCCCTTGTTCTTTTTACACGGAACTCACCTGATGGACAATACAGGAATCAGACTGACTACATCTGCGGAAAGAATTGTAGGAGAAGCTCAAAACCCAGCCAGATGCTGACTGCGGAACAGATAATCAAGTTCAAACTGAAGATGAAGAAAAGGAAAACAAGTTCATAAGGACCAAAATATAACCTTGAGTCTATCTCACCTGAATTTAAAAACCATCTCAAGAACAGGTTTTGCACACTAATAGAATAGGCATTGCAAACTAATGACAGAAGTCCCGCTGAACTGTAGGATGACACCAAGGATATCATTCAGATGAAAGCAAAAGAAGAAAATAGATGCCTTTGAATTGTGGTGTGGGTGAAGAGTTTTGAATGAACTGCCAAAAGAACAAACTGGTTTTGAAGGAAGTACTATCAGAGTACTCTTTAGATGCAAGGATGGTGAAATGTCATCTTATTTGGGGCATATTTTCAGAGACAGACATCATGGAGGTTTGGCAAAAGAGAAAGACCCTCGATGCTGTGACTACCACTATGGGCTTGCTATCAAGCACAGTGGTTAAAGTGTTTGGCTGCTAGCCAAAAGGTCAGTGGTCTGAAATCGTCTCTTTGCAGCAGAAGATGTGGCAGTCTGCTTCCATAAAGATTAGAGCATTACAAACCCTGCTGGGCAGAATTTATTTGACAGCAATGAGTTTTAATTTCATTAGCTAAGGAGGCCTGGTGGCACAATGACACTCATTGCTCTCATGATTTTACGGAGCAGGTTTACTCTGTCATGTAGGGTCACTACAGGGAGCCCTGGTGATATAGTCTGGAGTGAGTTGGACTGCTAACCTAAATTTACGTTTCGCCTATCAGGTGTTTTGAATCCACTAACAGCTCCATGGGAGAAAGATGGCCAGTCTCTCCTCATCATGAGTTACAGCCTTGAAAAACAGATGGAGAGTCGCTATGAAAGCAATGTGACGAATCGAAATGAACACAACAATTATTAACTAGGAGTCCCTGGGTGGCATAACCCTCTAGCCTGAAGGATGATGGTTAGAACTCAACCAGAGGTGCCTGGTAAGCCAGTCTGACTCCCTGCTCCCTCAGACTTCACCCCAAGACTCTGGGTTGGGTCCTGTGAAGGCTCAGTAGTTCCCGCGCAGATCAGTACCTGGAGGCCACTCCGCTTGTTCCAGGTGAATATGGACCCCGGGTATCCGCTCAGAGCCAAGAGCAGCTCGTGGATCATTCCCAAGGTAGACCTCAAGTCCCTAGGAACGTTACTCCCTCCTCCGGCCCCTCTTCAGGACTTTGGAGGCGAATTCTCTCTCCTAGCTGAGCGCACAACCCGCTGTAATAGGCAGTTCGTCCTGTATCAACCCCGTCAAAACAAATGCTGCGGGAGAAGCTGGCGGGACCAGAAGACAGCTCGGCGTGCGGAGTCCCGGAAGTGCACCGGGATTGGATTCCCCGCCGCTCGCGCCCGCCCGGGCTGGAAGACAAAGTGTGGTCTCCTTGCGCATGCGCCCTTTGTGCGCCGAGGAGTCCACTCGGACTTCCGGTTTGGGACCCCGAGTAAGAGGCTGAAGAGCTGGGCTGGTGGGGCTGCACGGGGAGAGTGTGAGGCTTGCCCGGGGGCAGGGAACAAGTGAGCTGTATTATCTGTGCGAAAAGGAGTCATTCCCAGGGATGTGTCAGAGGGCACCTTGCCCGGTCAGAGCCCTCTTATTAGGCATAGCAAGGCGCCTCCGAGAATCACTCGAATGGAGGCAGCGATGAGAAAGAGGCGGGAACGCCGTACCAGCCGCTCTTGGAGCTGAGCTCTCAGCCAGCAAACCCTGAGCCTCCGGCCAGCATCCGAGCTCGTTCTCAGGAAACTACTGCCCCCTCAGACTCCCTCTCTACCAACTCTGGGACTATCCCTAAGCCCAGCGGGTCCTCTCTTGTGCATGGTTTCCCTTCAGTAGCTCACAAATCCTGTTTGATCGGTTACTTCTGCTGGGAAGAGGAAAAAATCGATCATTTACCAATTGATTTTTGTCTGGGAAGGGAATTGGTAGTTCTTGAGTCGGAAGGGGTGGGGCTCGGCGGACTTGGAAAGACCGCGAAGTTGCTAGAGGATATTCGATGCGACGCTCTGGACAGCAATTATTTTTTATTTTGACAGAGGCTTTTTGTAACCTTCAGGAAGACGGTGACTTGCCCTTAGACCCGTTCAAACTCCAGATCTTGAGTATAGTTGGAATTGACTGTAACACTGATCAGAGAAGTAAAATGGAGTCAGATTTGAGGAAGGTAAGAAAGGAACAGACAGCGCTTTTTCTTTTCTGCTGTTTCCCCAGAATTTCTCAGAAATGTAGCCTTTTAAAGGTCTCCTCTTTTTGCTCACAGTCTTGACTCGCTGCCCTGAAGATGACGCAGCCTTAGATGACCGCTTGGAGCATGCATAAGTCAGGCTAGCCCTAGCAAGACTTTAGACGTAGGAATTTGCCATCTCTCTCTACCCTAGTAAGAAACTCCTTTTACAGGAAGAGCGTCATCTGCGGGTGATCCTCCAAGGACATGGGAAGATAGGTGTAAGTCCTGGAACCCAACCCTTGCCACTTTGAACAGTGAATGATAGCTCAACCCTCTGAGAGGAGATGGCGCTAACTCTGAGACCTTCAGACAGCGGTTCAGGAGATTTCCTTTACCAGGAGGGGGCTGGGCCCCGGCAGGCTTTCTGTCAGCTCTGGGAATTTTGCTGTCAGTGGCTACAGCCGGGGTTGTGCACCAAGGAACAGATTGTAGAATTGTTGGTGCTAGAGCAGTTCTTGACCATCTTACCCGTGAAAATCCAGAACTGGGTACAGGAACAATGTCCAGAAAGTGGAGAGGAGGCAGTGGCTCTAGTGGAAGATTTAGAAGAGGAGCCTGGAAGACCTGGACATTCGCTGAGAAAGGAGGAAGAACTGAGAGATACACAACTGGAAAGGCGCAAGGGTAAAGAGAGAAAGTATAGACACTCTTCCTTGGTGATACTTCTGATCCTGGAACAAGTAACTTGCTGATAGAGCTTGATGGGCGATGCTACATGGACGTAATTGCCTGTTAGGATTCATAGTTTCTTAATAAGAAAGAAAAACTTTTTTTAAAAAAAAGCCTGTAGTTTTTGGGTATACTGTTTGATCTTTTCCTTCCAGCTGTTGTAAACTTACAGTAATGGTTTTTCTTGTAATAATACTCAATCCCTACAACTTTAGCCATATCCCAAAAGGATGGTCTCTTCTAGGGTATTAATCTTCTCTGGGAATGCCTCCCAATATGGCCTTGCAGTGACAATTAATGGGGGTTGTTTCTAGGTCACAGTCTCTGTGAAGGGCAGGAAGTGCACTTGGAGAAGATGACACCCCTGAAATCATCACAGGAGTTAATAAGTGTTCGGCAGGAGTCAGTGAAACCCCAGTCCAGGGGTATACCCAAGAAAGAGAGGGTAAGAAGCCCAGACACGGGACCAAAGGAACAGCTGAAACCGAAGTAGAATCACAGACCTTTTCAAAGGAGCAGTGAGGAGTAGATTCATGTGGGTAGAGAGGTGCCATTCCAAGTTGGGAAATAAGGTTGGGAAAGGCATTTCAGGAATAAGAAAAGCCAAATTTGCAGTTGTTGAAGACTTCTTGAAGATATGTGGTTTAGTTCCCTGCATACACTATTTTTATATTTACACTTTAGATAAGTCTACTGGAGATTGGCTTCTAGTTCTTATCAGAACTTGGAATTATTTTATATACTCTTGATAATGACAAGAGTAGATCATTATTCTCTAGATAAAGTATTTTCTATGCTTGAAGGCACAACTTCCTTTTAGTCATTTCCTCCTCCAAATGAAAATTTTCAAATTTTATTATTTTGTGTGTGTGTGTGTACCGTCTAATCGGATCTGACTGGTACAGGAAGAGATTGCCCCTCCTTCTCCAGCAAAGCATCTGGTGGATTCAAACCTCATACCTCTGGGATTGCAGTGCAGCTTCTTGCCACTAGGCCACCAGAGCTCCCTTAAATGAAATTATTTTTACACATTCTCTCAGAAGTTTTAGCCTTCAGAAGCAAATTTTTTCCTAAAACTCCTTTAAATGTTAATTGTGGTCAACTAAATTGTGTATAGGGAACTCTGATGGCCTAGTGGTAAAGAACTGTGCTGCCAACCCAACAGCATGTGGTTCAAATCTACCAGCCATTTCATGGTAAAAAGAAGGACAGTTTCTTTCCATGTGTTTTACAACTTCTGAAAACGCACTGGAGGGTCAGTTGTGAGTTGGTTCTGACTGGGCAATACATAACAACAATAAAAAATTGTATATATTATTCTAGCAAATCTGGTAGGTAAAAGCAGAATAAGAACTTTTACTTCAGTTTTGCTACTCTCCAGTATAATATATAATTACTTAAGTCCTAAGTTCTAGGACTGTTAAAATGTTCCCTTTTGCTTTTGTGTCTAATTGTTTCTTGTGCTTGATTTTTATAGAACTTGTTTTTCTTCTTTGAACACTATTGAGCTTTGCAAGATGTTCTTTGATCATTTCTTTAACTTAACTGGTTTTTTTAATTCTGATATTATAATCCAAGGCATTATTACCTTTCTCAGTCAGTTTGGTAATGGTCTTTAATTAGTACTCCAGATCAAATCTCTGAACATTACATAGAGACTTGCAGAATTAAATCTGAACACTTCCATGTGCTTAATAGTGTGCAGGGTATTTGAGCTCAGAATGTGACTGGAATACATCAGCATACTATAAATATGTGCCAAACTGAACTGTAATGAAACAGTACCAAACAGTGGCTTGTTCAGTTGTCTGAGTGCAGTAGGGATTTGGCAGAGTGAGAAATAAGAGAGGGCTGTTGGAGAGTCTTGGAGACATTGGCCAAAATGGTTTCTAAAAGGATGAGTTAAATTTAGAGAGGAGGAAGAAAGTTAAAGAGAAAGCACAGGGAGCTCTGGTGGCCTAGTGGTAAGGAGCTGCAAATACAATCCCCGAGGCGCACAGTTCAAATCCACCAGATGCTCTGCCGGGGAAGGAGGGACAATCTCCTCCTGTACCAGTCAGATCTGATTTGACGGTACACTCACACAAAAATAACAAAATT